AGGCTGAGGCTGCCGTAGACACCCCCTGACGTAGCGCCGCCGGTGCGAGCCCGTTAGGGGCGAGCTGCCCCCCGCCACCAGCCCGGCCTCCAGGATGTGCTGCGGGGCACAGAACGCTGCTGCGTGACAGACAGGCCGAACCTAACGAGTTCCCCTTCCTCCTCCTCGCTGTCAGGCGCTGCTGTGCCGTGCTCCCGCGGCCAGGGGGTGGCACACGCACTTGCAGTTTCTCTTGCGGTAAGAAGCAGTGCTGAGCTGCGGCTGCATCACGATCTCACTGCTCCTTGTTAAAGGCAGACGATGAGCACTACATCCCACGAGCCGTGCTGCTGGACCTGGAGCCCCGAGTTATCCACTCCATCCTGAACTCCCCTTACGCCAACCTCTACAACCCGGAAAACATCTACTTGTCTGAGCATGGAGGGGGAGCTGGGAACAACTGGGCCAGCGGCTTCTCACAGGTAACCGCTCCAGTGCTCCTGGGTGCAGACACAGGTCAGCTCGTTAGGTGTGAGGCCTTAGCGTGGCTTTCTCACGTCAGGCTCAGCACGTGGCTTCTGAAGAACACCTCGTCATTCGGCAGGGACTTATGCCTGACGTTTCGTGGCACCCTGGGCACAGGGTCACACTGCCAGTCTGATCTGGCTCCAAGCCAGGCGTGAGGAGCTCTTCTTCATTTTCTGTGGGAAAGGAACAAAATCTGGTCTGCTCTCTCTTGCAGGGAGAAAAAATCCATGAAGATATTTTTGATATAATAGACAGAGAGGCTGATGGGAGCGACAGTTTGGAAGTAAGTAAATCAGGGGATTTGCATCTGGTTGCCCTGTTTGGTGTTTTCAAAGCCAGGCTGCTCCTTCATAAGGTCGAGCTCAGCCCTCTGGTGTACCCAGACTTGCTCAACTTGCTTCTAGGTGCTGAGCAGAGAACACGTAGGGGGGAATTAGGGAAAGGAGGTCTTTCCCAACACTGCTACATCTGCTAGGCTTCCTCAGAAATATTCTTACTCTACGCTCCGTGGGGCATTTTTCTGCCCCAAATACTGCTTGCACTGGGCCCTTCCCGCAGGATGCAGTGCGCAGGAAGAGTTCCAGGCATTATGGTGCTTTTTCCTTTCCCTGTTCCGCCTCCCTCCCACGGCTCTCCCCTGCGTCAGCTGAAGCAGGACACGCACTGCTTGTCCTCCAGCGAGGGCCCTCGTGGCTAGGGAGGGCTGTGCTGGGACCAGGCCCCTGCTGCCCCTCTGCCCGCAGCAGAGGAGGGAGCCTCGGGCTGCCAGCGGAAGGTGTTTAGACCCAGAGCTGCTGAGTGCTTTGAAATCCAGGGAATGAGCGCAGGCAGCTGCCGCTGCATTGTCTCTCCAGCCGGGTTGAAGGGCACCGGGGGTACCGACAGCTCCTCGGCTGCTTTGCCGTGTGCCTCTGGCAGGACCTTGGCCACCGCCCCGGTAAACCCCTTTCCTATGCGCACGCAGGCAGGGCTCCCTGGTGTCAGGCTGTCACATGGCAACAGGGGAAGGGAAAATGTCACCATAAAACAAGTTGGCAGAAGATCCAAGAGCCCGTTGTGGGACTTGCAGCCAGTGGGAACAGCCCTGAAGTCAGGCAGAAGGAGCTTGGCCTCGGGCACTCCAGAAGGAGAGGAGTGGCACGGAGGGCCTGGGGAGAACATGTCCCTCTGTTCGTGTGACCGACTGGACCCTGAAGGTGACGCTGGAGCTATTAAGTCTGTTCTGGGGCGGGAGGAATCCAGGAGGCTCCTGAGCAGCAGTTGCACTTCGTGGTGTGTGCAGAGACGTGGATTCCACCCACTCTGGCAGAAGTGGCCTGATGAGCGTGTGGCTGTCACTGTGGTCAGGGCTGACCTCCGCTCCGTCGGCTCCCTGCTCTCGGTTGTCACAGGGGGAGGTCTCGCCCTGGCTGGCAAGTCTCTGCTGGAGGTGGTGGCGGTGGCACAGCGTGCCTGGCCGTGCCTGCTCCTGGGGCTGAGCTGGACCTTGAGCTGCTGCATTCTGCTTCCTTCCAGGGGTTTGTGCTTTGCCACTCCATCGCTGGTGGAACAGGCTCCGGGCTGGGCTCGTACCTCCTGGAGAGGCTGAATGACAGGTGAGCGTTCAGCCTTGTCCCCTTCCCTCGGCGGAGTCTGGCCCAGCCTGGGCGCCCCGCCAAAGCGGGGAGCTGGAGAGCGCTGACTCAGAGCCACCGCCCCCACCCAAACACTGTCTTGTGCAATCCCTGGCACCCTGCCCGGGGAAGGAATGGCTCCTGATACGCCTGGGGACTTCAGAGGCTCTGAAACTGGACTCGTGCTGTCCAAACTCTGCCTTCCCTCAGCCATCCTTATCAGGCAGCTGCCTTCTGACAGCCTGACTGTGCAGGGGAGGGTGGGAGGCTCTGGCTGTGGGCTCTGAGCTGCCATCCCTGCCTGTTTCGGCTTGCAGCCTCTTGAAAACGCTTGTAAGCAGCTGCTTAATCAGCCTGCGGAGGGCTCAGCCTCGCCTGTAGCTCCGTCTGGCAGCCTGCTCCCCTACTGCTGGGGTAGGCACTGCTGGGACACATTCTCTCCCTCCCTGGGAGCCGACTCTGGCATGCAGCGCTGGTGACTCACTGCTGTCCTGAGCCCTGGAGACTGCAAAGGGAGCTGGTGGGAGGAGAGTGCTGGTTTGGTGGTGTTAACCCTTGGGATGGCTGGGCTTTCTCACCAGGTATCCGAAGAAGCTGGTGGAGACGTACTCGGTTTTCCCAAACCAGGATGAGATGAGCGACGTTGTGGTCCAGCCGTACAACTCCCTGCTGACGCTGAAGAGGCTGACCCAGAACGCCGACTGCGTGGTAAGAGTCCTGCCACGGGCCAGGCCAGCGGTGCAGCCAAAAACTGCGTGGCACCCCCGCCCCCAGCCACTCGGACATGCAGCCTTTGCTGGGCAAGTGCCGTCGCTGTGTGGGGCGAGGGCCGCAGCGGCGTGCGATGCCCCTGCAAAGCCCCCGGCGCAGCAACGAGCGCACCCCTGACCAGGAGGACCGAGCAGACGTGGTGGCTCCAGGGACAAGGGCTCTCTGCTACCCCTGCTCAGCTGCCCAGCCTGGCATTTCTGCTTCTGGGGTCCGGCAGATTCTGCCCACGGCGGCGAGGACAGGCTGTGCTTCCTCTGCGGAGCTGTGCTGCGGCCTTCCACTTGAACTCGATTCCGGCATTGCTTTCGGCACCCACAGGCCCCAGCCAGGCAGCACCTTCAGCCTGCACCAGGGCCTTCGGTCAGGTCCTAACCAAGATGCTGCTCGTCCCTCCCAGCTTGTCTCTGCCTGGGGCAGGGCAAGAGCAGCTGCGCCAGAGCTGCTGGGGCTGAAGGCTGCTGCGAGGTGCTGGCCCAGAGGCAGCGCTCGTGGGCAGAGTGCTGGGGAGCACAGCCAGGAGGGGAGGGAAGAGCTTCCATTGACAGTGTCAGTTAGCGCCACAGATGAGTCAGCTCGTGGTTTCAAGTGTCTGCCACCTGCCACGGAGGGCTCTGCCAGGCTGCGGCGCTCGGGGCCTGTGCTGGGCAATCCGGTGCCCTCGGACACGTGGCTGGGGCTGCCCTTCCTCAGGCTGCCTCCGAGGCGCTTCACAGAGACGGTTCTTCTCTTGCAGGTGGTTCTGGACAACACGGCCTTGAATCGGATCGCGACGGACCGGCTGCACATTCAGAACCCGTCGTTCTCCCAGATCAACCAGCTGGTGAGAAGGGCTCTTCCCTCTGGAGAAGGGGCTTCCCCGCTGGGTTCAGTTCGGGCTGAACCTGCTCCGTGGGCTGGGCGCGGTGGTGGGCAGCCTGGAGCCGTGAACAAGGGTCCTTCTTCTCTTCCCGGGGGGGCCTCCACCGGCGCTCGAGCTTCCCCCGGCACGGCTGCGTGAGGCACGTTTCGAACGTGCTCTGCGACCGCGCGGTGACGCGGAGCCCGTCCTCTCCCCCAGGTCTCCACCATCATGTCTGCCAGCACCACCACGCTCAGGTATCCCGGGTACATGAACAATGACCTCATCGGGCTGATTGCCTCGCTGATCCCCACCCCCCGGCTGCACTTCCTCATGACCGGGTACACGCCGCTCACCACCGACCAGTCGGTAAGGCAGCCTGCCAGGCCCTGCTGCCTTTCCCCGAGGGCAGGAGGAGCTGCCACGCTCACCTTGTGGCAGGGGGCGCCCCCCGTGGGAGCTGTAACTGCGGGTTCCAGATCCCAGGCCCGTGCGCCCACGCCACGTGACAGCCGTGTGTGACAGGAGTCAGCCGTGAGCAGGCCGTTGTGCCGGTGCCGGGCTCCCTGCTGCGTGCATCGGGGTGGTGCGGCAGCGGCGGGAGAGCCGGCAGTACCTGGTCTGACAAAAGCCACCCTCAGAAACGATCGGGGCGAGCCCAGCGACCTGGCCCTGCCAGTCCTGCCACCCCAGAGGGCCGCCGGCCCAGGACACGGTCGCTCGTGATCATTCCAAGACTGATCGTGGGCTCCGGGCGTCAGCCCCTTCCTGGGGCTTGATCTGTGTTCTGGGAGGGGGTTGCCATCCCTCAGCTGCCTGGGACGCTACCGCTTGTGTTTAGCTCGTCCCCAGCCAGTGCCCCTCAGCCCCCCCGTGAGAGCGGGGCAGTTCTGTTTCGAGAGGCACTCACCTGCGTTGGCCGCCTCTCAGTTCTGCCTGGAGCTAACAGCTGCTCTTCTCCTCTCGTTGTGTGCGTTTCCTCAGGATGTTACTCAGAGAAGCAAATCTGAAAAACTGCTGGCTCTGAAAAGGGTATCGAGTGTGTGATCTGTCCTCCCTGGGAGGAGTGTGGGGAGGGCTCGGGGCAGTTCTGTTTCGAGAGGCACTCACCTGCGTTGGCCGCCTCTCAGTTCTGCCTGGAGCTAACAGCTGCTCTTCTCCTCTCGTTGTGTGCGTTTCCTCAGGATGTTACTCAGAGAAGCAAATCTGAAAAACTGCTGGCTCTGAAAAGGGTATCGAGTGTGTGATCTGTCCTCCCTGGGAGGAGTGTGGGGAGGGCTCAGCCAGCAGCTCAGACGGTGCCTGGA